TCTGTTGCTTTCTGTTAAACTCTAGGTTTTACTTTCTCATGTTGCAGCCTAACTCTGCTTGTGAGCATTAGGGATAGCCAAGATGGAACTGGACAACATACAGTAGAGACTACGTTTACCCATTTTGTCCTGCTCCTTCCTGACAGGCTCCAGCATGCAGCATTCTCTGGGAGGATGTGCTACCATGAGACCAAGCAATACTCCCTACAGAGAAGGGATTTTCAGTGGTGCCTGCATAGCCTTAACCCAAGCAATAGGTACCACTCTTTCCCGTCTTTTCATGGTCTCACCATTTCTAATGTAACTGTAATTGTAGTTTGCATGCTGGCGTTCTTAGTCCTGGGTGCACTTACAAGCCTCTGCCTAGCAGAAGACAGAACTGAAGTTAAAACACTCAGTTGCTTTCTAATGAAGCAATCTCCCTGCCAGGAGGCCTTTTCCAGGAGGCAGATGAGAGCCTGAAAATCGCCTCCTGCAGAGTCAGTTACCTCTCTGTGGATCCACATCACCTAAGATGCAATGGAGCATGTGCAATTCCTGCTTAATTTGGTCAACCTTGCCCATGAACATGTATTCCCAAATTCCATATCCTTGTGGAAGGGAGCAATGCCCTGACAAAGAGGCATGGCTGAGGACAGCCACCAGCCCTTGCTTTCATACCCTTGCAAGCGCTGTGTAGGAAGAGCTGAGAAGCATTTGTAATCCCTTGCTCAGCACTTCTTGGACTTGACACGTACGCTGCGAGTCGCTTTGGGAGCCAGCAGGTTCCGTGGCATCTTACCTTTCTGATCCAAATCCTGGTGTGAAGTGATTCACATTCCCTACAATGGCACTTTCCTTTTCCAGGAGCGCTAACTCAGCACTTTCTGGTTTCCAGCGAGGTGTTAGGGATCAGGCACTTTGCTCTGTAGGTTTCCATTTGAATAAGCTGTTAAAACCTGGGATTTTTGTCTCTGCAGAGAATTGATGCCACTTTGAATCAGGCTGAAGAGTTTTCTGTTAGGGGCTTACCCAGTATTCTTTCTCCTTGTCTTCGCATTTTGAGCACTGTGTTATGCCATTGATCTCCCCCTTTTTATCCTCCATGCTGCTGCTTACAAATTCAGCTTGCCTGAGTTCTCACAGGCCTCAGCTCACTGCTGAGCAGGAACTGCCACCTATGATGTGAAGCTGTCCCTCAGCTTTTCCTATGACTAATTGCTTTCATTTTCAGATGAAAACAGAACTTTCTCCATGAAAACACAAATGTATTTCCTGCTAAGAGTACATCAAAAGTGACTTTTCCAAGGTTAGTTTTCCAGGTGTGTTTTTCGTTGACAATATTCTCCAAAGTGTAATGTCTTCATCAGCTTAAGACTGAAATAGTAACTGATTCTTCAGCCCTGCAAGACAGAACAGAGTACCAGCTCTAGTGTTGAGAGAGATCTCCAGCTTGTAAACCACGATCCTTCAGGATGAAAGGTGCCCATATAACAATAAGGCATTATTACACTTCCTTTATTACTTTGCACACGGATAATTTACTGACTGCTAAAAATCCCCTGCTGCAATGCCTGTTTGATGTCATCTGTCTTGCCTAAGCAGTGGTTGCTGCTTGCTTCTTTCCTACCCAACTAGTTGCAATGCTGCCTATGGCAATTTCAGTGGCTGAATTCCTTCCTCCAGTAAAATCTTAACTAGTTGAACTGAATCTTCAAACAGGTCCACGTCTCCCTCAATAAATATCAAAAGGGAAATCCAGCTTAGTATCAACAGAGAATAGCAAAACGCTGCTATTTATATGGTTCCATTTCCCTTCAGTTAAACCACTAATGGCACAGAGAACTCTTGTAATTAAAAGCCACGTCTGATAGAACAAAGTCATCTGTAGAAGCAAAGAAAGGGGAAGATGAAAGCACCACCAGTACAAAACACCGGTCCAGCTCTAGGTCTGTACATGCCTCTTTTTCCCTGTTCTGAGGATCAGCCAGAGCCTGAAACCTCTTTTGACAAGTAGCTGCTCTGATGACAGATGCTCCCCGCAGCCTCTGCAGGCTGCAAACAGATGCATTGTTCTTGCTGTCAGCTCCCCATTGAAAGGTGATTCCAGTAAGCAGCAATTGCCCTGATTTGTTAGCATTAGTCAGCAAGTGCATGGATCAGATTTGCTACCAAGGAAGAGAAAAAGCAGGCCTGAGACTGAAAAATCAGCTTTCATAATCAAGAGCTTGGCAGGGTATAAGCCTTGCTCTTTAGGATGCAAGGGACACGTTGCAAGTCTTGACTTCAGCTCTGTCACACTGTAGAACAGGACTCCTTTTTGGCAGAGTGGTCTGGATAAAGTGATCACATCTCTCTTCAGGATCGTCACCAGCCATCAGACATCATTGCTCTGCCAGGAGATGGTGACTCCAGCAAAACCCTGATGTGGGGAGGGGATGAATTACTGCAGGAAATTGCCCTGTGAGCCAGAATAGACCTGCTGATCAGAACAGTGATGGCTGAGGGGGGGAAGGCTCTGTACTAGGATGTCCAACGTTTAGAAGAGAGGCAGAAAAGCAGATGCCACAATGATGTTCCTGTTTCAGCAGGATTTCACAGGTAGCATACAAGAAACCACAGAAAATTCAATGCCAGTGAAGTCACATGGTCAAACCAAAATAATCCCCAAAATACTTGCTCAAAACTGTGTCTTAATTCATTAATACCTTGAAGAAGAGAGATGTCAGTGCTGGGCAGTTCTGTGAGGGCACGAGCCCTGTGAGAAATGCTTAGGGAGGAAATGGAGAGTGTCCTGCTTTTTATATCCATAGTATACCTGTGTCTTCTGCATTCCTGGTCTCCCCAGTGAAGCTCTTTCTCTGCTCCATTGGATGTACCATAAAGTAGCTTTGATTGTTGTGTTACCTCTTCAGCTGTAGCTGGAGCAGGAAAATGGAAAGTGTGCCTACTGCTTTTCAGACAGCAGAAACAAATGCCTCTCATTTTCCACCCAAGCTTCCCTCCCAAGTTCAGTGCATCTGACTGAGGTTAGTTTGATAGAGCAGTGTTTGGCTCATGTGCTTGATTCAAATGTAAGTAACCAGGTAGTTCATGGCTCTTCCTCTCCGCAGCTTTCCTCAGGCAGCTGCAGACCCCAAAGAGATGATGGGTTCTCCCTGCCCTGGGCAGCAGGGAGCAGAACCCCCACTAATACAGTGTTAGCTCTAGATTCAAGCCTGTCTATGCTTTTTATAGAGCACCAGAATTGCTCATAGTGCAGAAGTGTGGAGCAGATGAGCCACGGAGCAAATGATGAACACCGAGCATGCAGGCTGGGGCTGCAGTTGCACCTGATCTTTATTTTGGGGTGTTTTTCAGTGCATCTTGGCATTTCCTCCCAGCCCTTCCCTCTCCCTCTCCCCCAACACAGCTAGAAGTAGTCCATTAATGTGAGTGATGCGTGTCACTACATGCTGATCTAGGACAGAGCTCAGGCTGCTTTTCAGAGCAAGTGCCTAGCAGCATTAATACAAACCAGCCAAGATTCTCGGTGGTGGTTTAAAATGGGGTTTGAATTTAAAGGTACATCTTAAAAGCACCTGGTTTTCTAAAAATGTAAAAGCTGCTCAGTTCTCACTATCTGCAAATCAGCAGCTCTCAAATTAGGTACGTAAAAATAGAAGCATCCCATAGTATTAACCTCTTCTGGAAATATTATTAACACAGCCTGGTTTCCTTCCAGTCTGCAGGCTCTGCTCCCTGCTCAGTGTTAAGTGCCCAAGTGTAAATGGGTTCTGATGGGAGAACCAGGCCCACAGGCCTCAAACAAGTTGTGGCCACGTTATTCTTTGCCTGGGAACTTGAGTCACAGCCTGTAACTCCGAGCCTCGTGACTGTCACCTTCATTGCAGAGGTGTCTGCAGGAAGGTTGGGTTGGCCCATAACAAGAGTGTCTGAGGAATCAGTCATTGGAGTCATCTCTAAAGCTTGTCATGGTTGTTATGGGGGAAAGGAAGTTTATTTCTCTGGGATAAAAGCCTTAGAAATCCTAACCTGGGCAAAGTTACAGCTGCTCAGGATCCTTCAGTATTGCCCCTTCTCCTTTTTATTAATGCAGTTCAACAAGTTAAGCCTGAGCAACTGTGCCTGACCCCGTGGCTAGAGTAACATCTGTGACTGTACTCTGTCATTTGCAAACTGGAACGGCTCTAATCTCTTGAGCACACTGCTCTGCAGTGACATTTCCAGGACATCCGCACTCCAAAAGGCACGCAGTAGCCTTGGATTAGAGTTTAAAATAGAACCGTGTTTGCCTTTGTGTACAGCACGGGATCGCTAAGGAGAAATAGCACTGGGAGCACGCACTGGGGTTGCGTGACCCACGGCAGTTGTATGGGTCAGAGGTTCTCATGCGGTGGGACCTGGTCTGCTTTTCACATCACGCTCGTCCTCTGAGCAATTTAGTCGGCTTAGTCAGGGAAAGCTGTTCCCTGCTCCTCCTGAGAAACTTCACCTCCATGGAGACGGTGCTGATTAACACCGGTGGAAATCAGAGCAGCAGAACTAAGGCCGATGCCTTAAAACAAAGGGATGAACTGAAGTACTTCCAGTATAACACCGAACCAGGAGAGTGCTGCATGGCTCTCACTGAGCAGCCTCTGAGGTTGTAGGAAACCTGCTGTCATTTCCCTCACTGGAAGCCCCAACCTGCTGAACGTGTCGGTACCAAGTGGTGGAGGGCAAGTGAAGGGCTGAGCTGGAAGCAGTGCCATGAATGTGCTGTGTTCGTGCCGTGTTCATGCCGTGTTCGTGCCATGTCTCAGCTACCAAGCCTTGCCTTTAAGCTGATGTGACAACACACCTCCTGGTTGTTTTGCAGGCTCAGCTGGTAGCAGCTCAGGTCCTTTCTACCCTTCTCTGTAATGCAAAGTAAAAATCATTTCGTTTGTGTTTCTAAAGGTGCTTTTCATCACCATAAGCCCGGTAACTCGGGTTTCCTAACAAACAACAGCTGAAATTCTCTTGTTTGTTTGGTTTAGGTATGGTATTTTTGAAACACAGCAAGCTGTTGTTGTTCCTCTGTGTGTTGGTAAATAGTAGCTGCAGACTTTCACCTTGGGAGAGGCACAGGCTGAGCAAACAGTGAACTGCGGGCATGGACCAGGCACAGAATTCCAGAGTAGGGATACGGGGAAGCTCTCCCGACACAGCTCATTTCCTAAACCTACTGATGTTCACCCTCAGCAGGTGCTTAAACATCACTTCATGCCTCTGGAAGCCCCCTTTGGAGCTGTTGCTTCTATAGCTGTGATTTCAAGGTAGGGACTCTGGAGGCCGTGGGGAAGCAGGACCTTTGAGGGGTGGCTTCCCAGCAGCTTTCCTCTCTGCCCTCTCCCAGTGCAACTGGAGCAGCCGGTGCCCAGCCCAGCCCTGCGTGCTCTCCTCTCCGGTCTGTAGAGAGCATCCATCCGCCTGATTTATTGCTCCCAACGTCTCTGAGTTTGTAATAAAGTTTTCAGCGGCTCCGTGGAGCCCGCGCACGCACATCCCCGCGCTCGCTTTGTTCTCCTCACACATAATGTCAACTCATAAACCTTTCATCAAGTCAACCAGGTGGAAAAAACCCATTACTGAAAGAAGTGTTCATGCAGGTTGGGAGGGGGGGAGGAATGGAGGGAAGGCGGGGGAGAAAGTTCCCCAATGGAAAAAAGAAGAAGGGAAGGGGAGGGGGGGGGAAGAAGGCAAAAAGCTGTGTGTGCTCGTAGCCGCAAAGCCGCTTTGCTGCGCGCCCCAGGTGCCAGGCCCCGGAGGAGCCTGGCAGATCTGTCATCCCCCTGACAGGAGATGGAAAGCGCTGTGTACATATTCAAAGAGGCAGCGATTTGGGCCTAATACCCACTGATGAAAGGGAGCTTCAACACAGCCGGCCTCTGCCAGCGCCAACAAACCCGCTTGTGCTTTTGTATGGCAGGAAGGGCACCCCCCACCCTGGTGCTGGAGGCTTCCCTCCTGCTCCTCCCACCCCAGTCGATGTGTTTAAGCCATGTTGGCTGAGGCTCATGTGCTGAAAGACGCTGCTGGGTGCACAATGGAGGAGCTGACAGGGGTGTGTCGGCAGGAGACGTGCTGTGGGGAGAAGGCGCTGAAACATGGAAGCGAGGAGGCTTGTGTGAAGGGCAGGGACCAGCCCGGGATCTCCTTACAGCAGTGGAAGCCCTGGGGATGCTGCACTCCGAGCCCGGGCAGAAGCTGTTCCTGCTCCCAGGGACACCCCGCACCTTGCTGATGGGTGCCTGTGGGAACCCATCCCTGGAGTGGGAGCAAGGAACGGGCAGGGGCACTGGGGGGACCAGGGCAGAGTGACCCTGGGCAAAGCTCAGTACTCCTGTGCCTCAGCCTCATGCAGTGCAGATGATAATATTCCTTTCTCCCACTTAGCCTCGGCTATTCAGGATGCAAACCCTTTGTGGAAGGCACTGTTGCTTGCTCAGTTCATCAATCCCCATGGCCAGGGATGTTTTATTGATTTTGGATGGAATTTCGAGTCGGGCTGTGGGGTGGAGTTCACTGCAAAATGAAATCTCCTTTCCCCAGCATCTCCACGGTGCAGGCAGACCCTTTGGGGGTTGATGGATTTCTCTTTACTTGGAGAAAGTTCGGCCCCGGATTTGATGTCAATAGGTTTTGAAGCAATGTAGTGCAGAGTTACTGCTCTGGAGAAGGGACACAAGGGCACGAGGGGATGGAGGAAGGATGGGAAGCAACAAAGGAGTGGAGGCAGTGACATCTGTCGCTAGTATTTTATAAGTTAAAAATTCAGCATAATCTCCTGCCACCCTGTCCGCTGTACTGAGTTCCAACAGTAACAGAATTGTCATGATTTCTACATGAATTAATTCAAATCTCTTTTTGCATGATATGGCGTAAGAAAGGGGCCATCTGGTTTATGTTCTAGGTGTCAGAGCCACTCATACCAGCACACTCTCATAGTGCAAGATGCAAGTTGACTGCACATATTAATGTCTCCTTACCCTCTGCCTCCCTGAGACCTGATGCTGTTGTCCCATTATGGTGCTGCCATTTATACTGTCAATAGCAATAATAATACTAATGCAACGTTTGGCATGCACATAGTACCTCCAATTACATCTGTGGCTGGGTGTTACTTACCATTGCAAACACTTGTAATGGTTTCTTCACCTGTATGAGGCTTAGGACGTTAAGCAGGATCGTGATGTGAGTAATAAGTTAGGAGTGGCCAAGTACACGGTGAAAGATTGACAGCTTCCAGAAAATGAGTATCTAACTGGTGACCTGGTTCCCCTACAGAGGTTACTGGCTTCCCTGGAGTATAGAAATAGTCCCTAGCAGTGCAGTTGGGAGAAAGAAAGGCTCAAGTGTGTGGAAACCTGCCCACTCCATAGGAGAATGGCAACTGCCTGTCAGGTGTCTTCCTGTTACAGTAAATACCCAAATACTGGCTACCAGACTTAGGTGCCTGTGATAGTAACTTAGGTAATAGTAAAAATACACTTAGGGTAGGTGATAACACTGTACACTGTGTGATTTTCAGAGCTGTAAGCAAACCTGCACGGATGAATCCTTACAACACCCAAAACCAGTGCAGCACTTGCAATACCTGAGTAACTGCAGGGGGGAAAAGGCATCAAGAAAAAGGGTCTGACTTTTGGGGCTGGGAACAGGTGCATCAGATTTCAGGTCATTTCTCTGTTTATTATAGCCATTTGTTTGTTTGTTTGCATTGCAGCTTGGTGACAGACTGGTTCACTGGGGGTTTTCCCAGCAGGTAGCTGAATATGCACAATCCAAGTAGAATTGCTTTGCTAAGGCCAGCCACCAAAGCCACAATTCCTGTTCCTTTTGCTGGATGAAAGAGGCTCAGAAGAGTGGGAAAGAAGTCCTGAAGCAGAAAAGCCTCGTCTACTACAGATTAGCTCTGTTGATATTGCAAAGGCTCTGGCTCAGGTGAGTTTCTATTTTTCTTAGAAATACTGGTTTAGCATGAATTTATCTTGAAATGAACTTTGTGGTAAATAGAATTTAAGCGTGAGCTTAAATTTAAGGTCTTATTTAAGTGCTTTCCTACTTGGCTTGCCAGCTATGGCTCTGGCCTGGGTTTTGAACATCTTTAGGGAGAAGAAACAGATTAATGAGATTAGAATGTTTTAAATCACTTCTGTGCTTGCCTGGGCTGCATGATCTTTATAATACCTTGTCTCTTTAGGCTCTTTATAAAGTGCACTGGCTGGGTGCTAACAGACAGGGCTGATGAAAATGAGACTTGCTTGGGCATCCTTTCACACCTGGGGAACATATTCAAGGGCTTATGGGTATGTTCAGTTTCGTACCTCAAAGTGCATTTCATCTCTTTGTCTGCTTTATGAAAGCCAGCATTGGAGTGCTTCACCCTCAGCCAGATGGGCCTGATTTCCTTGCTGAGGTTTGCACCAGGTATTTTCCAGTCACGCCAGTAGAATGAAAGATGTGGTCATGGAAGATGGGAAGGGGTGACCTGGGAACAGACAGGCCTTCATCCGGAATACGAACACCACAGCAGGGGCTGCATTTTCTCAGGGTGCATTCTGCATTGCAGTGTGGTAGCTTTGGGGAAAGGAGAGCTGGAACTCATGAATTTTCACAGCTTGGGGGCTTACGATGCTGCAGAAAGACTGTTGAGTCCCAGGCCTGCTCTGGAAATGCATTTAAGACATGCATGACTTTGAGCATATAAATAGTTGCACAGAAGTCAATGGGACATAAATTTATGAATTTGCCTAAGTGCTTTGCTGGATCTTTGCCTGAGGAACCACTTACCATGAGTCTCAATAGCAGAATCATGGCCTTGTTAATGAGCAAACCTCTGGACCAAGAGCGTCAGTGAAATGTGAAATCCAGCTCCACGGATCTCTGCTCCTCAGCTTGATTTCATCTCTCCGTAAGCTCACTCTGCTCTGCTGATGTTTATGTCCCTTACCTGTTCCAAAAAGTGATTTGTAAGTTCCATTTTACACTTGTAAATGCACCAGGACAGTGCAAGATGGAAAGCAGCATCCCGAGCAACCTGGGGGTGGTGAGACCAGGACTCGGTGCTAGAGGGCAGGCACTGAAGCAGCTTTTTTTACTAGAGAAAGGCAGTTCCAGAACCTCGTCAGTGAATTGTGGCTTTCACCTTCTACATTCTTCTTTTTAAGGTTTTTTTGGTAGCAAAGGACCAGGAAAAAGAAACATGAATGACTACGACCAGTCGATATTGTCAGGTCTCTGCACGCTCCATTAGTGCTGGCAGGCAACAGCAATGCAGAATTCACAGCACAAAGTGTCATAAATCATGTTGGGGAACGGCAGTTGGGATGGGGATATTGGGAAAGAAGCAGTTTGTACACGGCAGCGCCAGGCCAGTGAAGACAGAGCTGTTCAGGTGGACCATAAGGCCTGTGCCACCCCAGAGGTGTGGCCCCACAACTCCATGAATCCTGTCTATTTCCAAGTATCTCTGGTAAGACCATCCATCACACTTTGTGGTGGCTGTCTGCACAGGTTCTGCTAGGGCAGCTAATGACTTTGAGTGCCCATTGCCTCTGGGAATGATCACAGCCCCTGTTTCAAGCTGCTCTGCTGACTGTCCTGGTGATTTGCTCCGACAGCACAGGTAGCAACCAGAGGCCAGGTCAGGTCTCCACTGAGCGAGGCACGATACAAAACCAGAACAGACAGAGGGTCTCTGCCTTCAGGGTATTACAGTATAAATAAAAACAGGGTGGTGGCAATGAGACAGAGCTGTAATACCTTTGATCCTCTATTGCAGGCAGTTTTTACATAGGGGTTCCTTTTAAACCAGAAAATAGCAGGACCCCTTGGGAGACTGTGGAACAAACAGTGAGTGGGAAGCAGAACATCCATTTGCTGAGTATCACTTTGAGCTATTCAGCAGATTTGGGTATATCCAATAAATTGGTGTCAGAATTCTTGCACTTAGAAAAGTGTTGTTTTTATCTGCTGCACTTCCATAGACATTTGTTTCCATTAAATAAGAAATGCTACCCAGTCATAATGAAACTTCCCCGTAAGGTCTTTGTGTGACTCGGAACTGGCCACTGCCACATGCCTGAGAGGAGCGGACCCTCTGTTTCTTACTTGTCCATGTGGCGTTCTTTGGACTTCCAACTTGGGAAAAGCATTAGAAGGGAAGAAGAGGTGCTGTTACAGTGCAAGCATGGAGTGCCTCTGTTCCCAGATCCCCTGGGCTGTGCTCACCCAACTGCTCCCAGTGCATCCCCAGCTAAAGCTTTAGCTGGAATGCTGAGCAGACGCTTTGGGGAGATGTGGTATATACTGAATCAGTGTTAACCTAAGGATGTCAAG